TGGAAAGAGATGAGCATGCTACAAAAATGGAATGATCCCCTTTGCTGGCAGACACTCTTCTCCATCGAGGGACACAGAAGAAGTCACAGAGTCCATATACTGGAAACTCTTTAGGGCAATGACCGTGTCAGTAAAAGGCCCCATGAAGCTATGGTGCAGTAGAAGTAATCAATATTATCTAAAATTAGTAACAACATCTCAAAACTGTTGAAGGATTAGTGATGTTTGGGCTGGTAAAATGTAACATCTTTGTTGCTCTGTGGTTTGCTTTATTCCCATGTTCCTTTCCGAGAGAAGAGGGTAGAGGTTACTGTCTTACAAGAACCACAGTGGCCTAGTTTAAGAAATCTATTAAAAAAAATAAGGCTGGCTGGTGAAACATGATTTAAGGATGAAAAGTATTTAGGAACATTGGACCAGAAAGTACCTTCTGGGTCACTGAGTCCAGCTTTCTACTACTGCAGACAGTCCCTTTCATAAACTGAACAAGCTCCATTTTATAAGTAATTGTGTTTCTTGCTCCAGCTACTCCAAAAAAAAGATCTTCATACCTCTGATAGTTAGAATCCGTCTAATTTCTAGGCTATATTTTTTCATGGCTAACTTTTATCCATCTTTTCTTGTGGCAACATTTTTTTAGCTTCCGTAGTTCTTTTCCCTCCCTAGTGCTTGTTCCTCTGACATACTTATCAAGAGCAATCCTATCCTCAGTCAGCCTTCATTTGGTTGGCTAAACAAGTCTAGCTCTTTCAGTCTCCTTTAAGATACGCTTCCCATTCCACTGATCATCCATATAATAATATTCATCCATCCACGCTCTCAAAAGCCTCATGCAACTCAGCATTTTAAGACTCTCGTGAAACTAAGCACAGTAGCAGATTCAACCATCCTCAGCAGAAAGATGCAGCTTGGGTCTTCTAGTAGTAACAAACATACTGTACCTGCTTTCCCCTTTTTTCCAGATGTCCCAGTTAAACCTTTGATTCCTTTCTCACCTGAACAGAACAGAAAATGTATTTTCAGATCTCAGAAAATAACTAACTCTGGAGACCATGTTTGAAAAAAAAAACATGTTTGAAACCTATTTGAAAACTATTTAGTAATGTATTAGTGTTTTTTTGATAGAAAGTCCTTGGTGTGTTGTACTAGCAGATGTGCCAAATCAAACAATCCCTGACTAGTTTAGGTGGGGAAAAAATACAGAGAAACTTTAATAGATGACTCATTGATAGCTCTGGCTCCTTTTGGGTGGCTAGTGCCTGCTACCACTATCTCTAAATGTGAGCTACACAGGGCATGTCTACACATGTGCTTTAAGGCACAGTAGACTATTTACTGCACATTATAACGTCGCATAAAAACCGTAACATATGCTAATGTGCAGTAAAATAATCTACTGCACATTGGGTAGCACTGAATCAAGCAACTGCAGTACTGGGCATTAGTGCAGCCTAATTGGTTAGTACCTGACACTGGAGGTACTAAATTTAATGTGAATAAGATGCATTAATGCATGTGTAGATGCTCCCACACTGATCTTTATACAGCATAAACATGAGATGCTGGATGACTTTCAGTCATATTAGCAGGACTTGAATTCTGTCACTGCCTTGCAAGGTTGAACCCATACTTGACTATGTATTTGACTACACCATGTTGTTTTAAGACACAGGACAGAACTTAGTAGTGAGTTTACACAGATGCATCAAATGATGCATGCATCCGGCAAATAATAGCTCTAGCTGAGATTAAATTTACTTCACTTCAGATAAAATCCATGGAAACATGCTATTTTCTTTATCTTTTTTCTTTTGATTTTTTTTCCTCATTTTGAAAATGATCCAAAAATTAAGTACCTCTGTAGTGGATAGAGTACTGTAAATACTTGAGGGAATAGCTTTCTTTCAAACTTGCCAATACTTATTTGGAGCTGAAAACTGCCTGAGAATTTTCTTCTCTCCCCTGTTAATTAAAACTTTGTTTCATCTCTGAACTAAAGTCACTTTTCCTTGTGGTCTGTATGCCACTATGATTTTGACGTCTTTTTTATCCTTCATATATTTTTTCTTTTTTTCCCCAAGATGTAAGCAAGGCATTTACTGGTTATTTCATTTCACATGGAGACTAACATTTTGGAAAATTTCTTTTAAGCATTTTAATATTCTTGTACAGTAACATAAAAGCTGAAGAGAAGATGGACGGCCCTGAATCAGACACCAAGAAATATTAATGTATCTAAAAGCTAAAATTATATGGTGGCGAAACCACTCTTGGTTACGCCAAGACAAATTCAGAGTAATCCCATTGATTTTTTTATGAGGAAAAGCACTAATAGGCATTGCTCATGGTTTCAAAAGTGACCAGTGAGTTTGGGTGCTACAATTCTTGGGAACCTAATTTGATATATCATTAAGGGGGGGAGGGGGGCACTGTCCAAAGATGGATGCTTATCAAAGCCAGCCCTTTTAAAAGTATCACAAACTAATCCCTTAAAAAGTTGAGATTCCCTCCAAATCAACAGTCACTCTCCTAAAGATAGTTGGCTATTGCTTTTCTGTTTCTTAATGGAATAGGGAACTGTATTAAAGATTTGTCTGCTTTGGCAGATATGGTGTAAATATTGAGATACTTTGCCAGCAGAGCCAGCTTGCCATTTTGCAGAATGACCTTTTCCATTTATAACCTAGGTTGCCAAAAACTCCTTCTCAGTATCATAATTCAGTATGCTCTGCAAGAGTTATATAGTAAGTCAAAACTCAGTCCTAAGGAGTTGAAAGACATTTGTTTCATAATTTCATAGTTAGCAGAGTCGGAAGGGACCTGAGCAGTCCGACCCCCTGCCACAGGCAGGAAAGAGGGCTGGGGTTAGATGACCCTGGCAAGGTGTCTATCTAGCTTCCTCTTAAAGACCCCCAGGGTAGGAGTGAGGACCACTTCCCTTGGAAGTTGGTTCCAGATCCTAGCTGCCCTGACTGTGAAGTAGCGCCTCCTGATATCCAGCCTGAATCTGCTCTCTATCAGCTTATGGCCGTTGTTCCTTGTTACTTCTGGTAGTGCTCGGGGGAACAGGGACTCTCCCATTGCCTGCTGGCCTCCCTTGGCCAGTTTATAGATGGCCACCAGATCCCCTCTCAGCCTTCTCTTGTGGAGGCTGAACAGGTTCAGGTCTCGTAGCCTCCCCTCGTAGGGCTGGAAGCCTTAAATAATATATACAGTGTTAGGTGGGAAAGAAATCTATTCAGACCATAAGTCATAAATGCAAAAATCAGAATTCTTAACACAGATCACACTTAGAGGCCTGAAGTCAGATTTTTACTCCTCTTTAGGACTCTAAAAATCTCGATAGGCACTTATCTAGTGGGGTTCCAACTCCCATTTGTTTCAAGGGCTGTTCTTGAAAAGGCTACTTCACCTCTCCCATTCCCAGCCATAGAAGCATAGGCTTTCTTTACTCTAGTCTAACCAGTCATTCGCCATACGGTACAGAAATCCCCAGTTGACTCTTTGGGGTTCTTTTTTTTTTTTTTAAGTTGCAAAGTCCATTTTTCTTTCACATTATTTAAATAAATCTTTCAAGGAGTTTTTCATCTTATACCAAATACAAACAGTGCTAATGCATAGGATCCGCACAGTAATCCAGTACTGAGTACACATTAATTGTACTTTACTTATGTTACAGGTCAGGGTCAAAATTAAACCTCAAAGTGTATCAGTCAGTCATATGCTTTATCAAATTTCCATTGTATTGTAATACTTATAAATGCTGTTCTTTTTCTCTCATGGTTAAGTGGGCTGTAAACCTAAACCAAAGAACATTTGTTTTAAAAGTGTGTGAATGGTTGATGTTTTTATATAGTAATTTGCAATTTTGTGTTTATAATTCCTGCACTTTTGTGGCCAAATGAATACTCTCTCTCCCGTAGACCTCTACTAAGCTATTTCAGAAGGCCTTTTCTGAGGCTATTAAGCCATTTACTCCTCAGAATGACTGGGCATGTGCTGTTGTAGTCTTGTCTTGATATGCAAGGAATCAAATGGCTCTCAATCTAATGACTTGGTCTCAGAACATTAGTTTCAAAATCACTGCCACATCTAGGGTGCAGACTGACGTGACAATTTTTGCCCAATCTGGCCACAGAAAGCAGCCTATAGTCATGACCAAACACAAGTGCACAGCTGCAGACAGCTTCAAAAGTGGCCGATCAGGTGAAAATCTGAACACTCATTGCATGAGGGGTCAGATGAAGATGTTTCAAAACATCATCTTCTGTAACTTCTGTCTGCGCTGACTGCCAGCCTGTCACTGTTTTCAGAATGGGAGGGGGGAAAGGGTCTGGCTGGGGACTCCCTAGAAAAAGCTCTCTCTGGTCCCTTTCACCCTCCTGTTCTGAAACAGGGACAGGCTGGGAAGGAGGAGGGGTCATTGCTAAGGAAAACCAACTGCACGCTCCCAGCCAACAGCTAGATTTCCCTTCCCCTGGAACCAGAAGTGAACTTCTGTTTGGTCCAGGGGATCTTTGTAATTCAGAATGCTTCCTGAAAAGTGTTCTGAGTTACAGTGAGGAGCTGAACTTTTGTCTGCACCCCTAATCTTTTTCAAGAAGCTTATCCATGACCTGTGCATCAAGGTAGTTACAACTCTGTGGCATTAGTCTTACTTATTAGTCTTAAGGCCCATTAGTCTTACTTCGATTCTGGGAAGCTATTTGAGAAGATTATCCAGGAGCACATCTGGGAAGGACCAGCAGGGGGGACAATGCTCAAGGGCAACCAGCATAGGTTCAGTAGGGGCAGGTCCTGTCAGACCAACCTGATTGCCTTCTATGATCAGGGCACAAAATCACTGGATGCAGGTGTCGCAGTGGATGTAGTCTCTGGACTTTACTGAGGCCTTTGACACTGTTTCCCACCCCATTCTCATTAAAAAGCTAGGCGACTGTGTCATTGATGCCTACACAGTCAGATGGGTCACAAATTGGATGAGGGGCCACACGCAGAGAGTGGTGGTGGAGAGGTCATATTCAACCTGGAGGAATGTGGGCAGTGGGGTGCCCCAGGCCTCGGTCCACGGGCCTGCACTGTTTAATCTCTTTATTAGTAACTTGGATAAGGGGGTGAAAAGTACCCTGTTCAAATTCACTGATGACACCAAGATTTGGGCGAGGTAGGCACGCTAGAAGGGAGGGACAGGATATAGCTGGACCTGGACAGGTTACAGGGGTGGGTGAATGAGAATAGGATGGGATTCAATACTGACAAGTGCAGGGTACTGTACTTGGGCAGTAAGAACCAGCAGCATACTTATAGGCTGGGGAACTCCCTTCTCAAAAGCACAGAGGCAGAAAGAGATCTTGGAGTCATTAACGATTCCAAAATGAACATGGGCCGCCAATGTGAGGACGTGGTCAGTAAGGCCAACCGCACCTTGTCATGCATTCACAGATGCATCACGAGCAGGGCCAAGGAGGTGATCCTCCCCCTCTATGCAACATTGGTCAGGCCACAGTTGGAGTACTGCGTCCAGTTCTGGGCTCTGCACTTCAGGACAGATGCGAGAGGGTCCAGAGGAGGGCCACTTTGCATGATCCGGAGACAGCAGGGCAGACCCAAAGAGGAGAGGCAATGGGACCTGAACCTGTTCAGCCTTCACAAGAGAAGAGCTAAGAGGGGACCTTGTGGCTGTCTACAAACTTACCAGGGGGGACCAGTAGGGAATGGGAGAGACCCTGTTCCCCCAAGCACCTCCTGGAGTAACAAGGAATAATGGCCATCAGTTGTTTCAGAGTAGGTTCAGGCTGGACATTAGAAGGCACTACTTCACAGTCAGGGCGGCTAGTATCTGGAACCAACTTCCAAGGGAAGGTGCTGGCTCCTACCTTGGGGGTCTTTAAGAGGAGGCTTGACAGTTACCTAGCCGGGGTCATATAAGCGCAGTATTCTCTCCTGCCCAGGGCAGGGGGTCGGACTTGATGATCTACTTAGGTCCCTTCCGACCCTACATCTATGAATCTATGCATCAAAAATAAGTGGCAAAATAGTAACTCTTGTTCATTTACTTTGAAAGCATATGGGCAAAAATGGGGGTGCTCTACTAGAGTTGATACTAGCTGCTTGCAGGCATTAAAAAAAACCTAAAATGGTGCACTACTTTAAATTCAGCACACTCCCATGCTGAGCCCAGCGCATGCCCAGAAAAGACAGCATGTTAGTTGGATACAGCTCGCCCAACGTCTGTATAGATCAGGTGCTTTGCAAGGCATTTTTTGGTAATTTTATCTAATAGATTATTGAATCAGTTTTAGCTAAAAGTGCCAAAAAGCCTCGCTGAAGCACCTGATCTCTACAGATGCTATGGAGCCGGGTCAAAGTAATGTGCTGCTGCTTTTGCTAAGCAGTTTTTTGTTTTTGTTTTTTTAAGGTCTTCAAGCAGCCAATGTTTAGCTATTATCTTTAATGAGCCTCAGGTTTCTCCCTGTGTTTTTAGTCATGTAATCTAAAACAGAGCAGTTTGCTTAGCTCAGCTAGGGAAGTGTCCGAGCCAAACAAGTCCAGTGTATTCCAAATAGGTACTAGAGCATACATCTCAGATTATATCATAATAGCCAATTACACTAGTTGTTTTTGGAGAACATAAATCACAGGCATTATTTAAATGTGAATAATTTCACCCAATAGCTGTAACTCTTAAAATCACACATATGCCCTTGATACACACCTGCTTTGACACAAGAATGGGTAGAACTTACCCTTTCCACCAATCGGACCGATTTTCCCAATTGTTCCTTGATCACCAACATCTCCCACTACTCCTTTGTTTCCTAAGAAGAATGCAATGAAAAGAATATGGATGGTTTTATTTGTATTTGGGACACAGTTTAACTGCTTGATTGATCTGTTCTTTTGTTAAGATACGCAAGTTCGGTTGTAACTGGTAGTAAATGTGAGTGGGTGCATCTACGAGGCGTTTACTGTTCAGTTGACTAACTGCAGAGTAAACACCTCAGTGTCTGCATGTGCACCCCTACTAGGGTGCACACAGCTAATATAAGTATTACCCTGCTGTGGAGTACTTTTGTACGCAGCAGCGCACATGTAGATGCTGACCGGTTTGCTGGGACACAAGGGTACTTCAGTGCTGGGGCTGCCTGCCAGCTAGCTTTGCACTGATGCACCCTTGTGCCCCAGCTATCCCCTCTGCAGCACATTGAGCCTCAGCAGAGCAGCCCCAGGCTGGCAGGCTGACCTCCTGGGGCCCCCTTCCAGCTAGAGCTGCTGCAATCCAGCTCAGTGTGCTGTGGTCTGGGCACACATGCAGATTGTGTGCCTGGGAGCTTCCTGGGAGCAATAAACGGAGGGGCAATAAGATCCAGAGTTTAGTGATGTCCCCTAATAGCACATGTAGACATGCCCAATGTGTGTTATAGGTTCTCCTTTCAGCCCCAGCCATTGAGTATATGGGTCTTTTACAGTCCCCTAGTCCCAGGGTGCTCAGGGTGCAGAATTTTTTCCTTTTTCACTAACAGTGTAGCAGCTTGTATGTTTAGCTTTGAAAGTCCCTGTGTCAGTTTCTAGTGTGTCCTCTGTCCTTTTCAGTCTCAGCATTACAAGTGATTTAACGTGATCTTAACTTTTTAACTTTGTAATTTTAATATTCAAACAAGGTTCCCACTGAGTATTGCAGTGGATTATCTAGCTATTTTCCTTCTGCTAAATTTCTTTCTGCAGATATTTAAATATCTGCAGGAGGTAACAGCAATGTCTTCCTGAATAGAGGCAAGTCACATAGTCCTTGAATGCCTTCTTGTACTCATCTGTAAAAAAGACATGGCCTTCCACTGAATGTCATAATTGATTGGCCTAAAGAGGTAACTCTGTAAACTATAGGTTCCACTTTAGGGTATACTTGAGTTTGGGATATGATATAGATTTAGGCTTGCAGACATGACCCAAGTAGCTAACAGTGGTCCACATCTTAGGTGAGAAGATTACTTAGATGAGCAATAAACATTTATTTGACTTGTCACATGACTATTTTCAGCCAATCCCATACATGCACGTAATATATCACATAACACTAGTATCCATACCTAGCTTTTGGGGATGGTGTTAGGTTTAAATTAATAATGCCTAGAAATATTGTGATATCTTGCATTGATGTTGTACTAAGATATGTATACTAATTATTGCCAATACTAGTAATTGGTGTATTGTTCTAGACCTCAATATTAATATAGCAAAAATGTTAAAATAATCATACATACCCTTTGGTCCTTTTGGTCCTACTTTTCCATGTTTTCCCATTTCTCCTCGATCTCCTTTCTCTCCTTCATCCCCTTCAAAAAGTTCAAATTAAGGATCATGCTCCATTTCACTCAGGATAATACATGTAAATCTGTTTCTGAGGAAGAAAAGCTCAGGGTGCAGACAGACATAATATTTGGAACTTTGCAAAAAGCTTTAGAAATGTAGTAAAATTTAAAAAAACAACCCTACTGTACTGATATACACTTCCATGGAGGGAGCAGGTATTACTTTGTACCTTTTTGTTCCACTTTATGTCCATGCAGGTGGTTGGTCCTCCATAGTGTCCCACAGTGCAGCTCTCTTCCCCCACCACATTCTCCCACTAACTTGGCCACTTTCACCTCCTTCCTCCCACCCGGGGTGCAAGGAGTGGTAGCGTCAGCAGTGCCAGAGTACTGGGGCTCCCAGCACTTGGGGCACTCTTGGGGCCCTGCCCCTTTGGCACCGTAGGGGTGCTGCCCTCTTGGTAATTTGGGCACTGCTTCCTGTAGCCAGGAGACCACTGGAGCCAGGATTCTGGCTCTCCAGCCCATGATCTCCACGTACCTCTGCTCTGATAGCAGGGAGCCGGTGGGGAGCAGAGGCTGAGTGGCAGGAGGGCACTCTCTAAGATTAGCTCCGCTTCTCCCACCACCTCAGCAAGTGAGACGGACCAGTGGTGACAGAAAGGAAATACTGTTGCCTTTCACAGCTAGGAAATTTAATTACAGGATGATTAAATAATCTGCCTAACATCACATAGGAAGTCTATGGCAGAGGCAGACACTGAAGCCAAGTCCCAGACTTGTGCCAAATTATAACATCCTTGAGCAACAAAAGAACGAACACCTCAGCAGTCAACAAGGTTTTAGGGAGGGTAACATTGACTTGTTCTTGGTACCAAGGTCCATAATACAAGTGGTTTGAGGTCTCATCTTGTCTAAATGAAAACATGAAATGAACTGAAAGCTCTTATCTAATTTGTTTCTGAGTTAGGCTTGATGTTGCTCAAAGAGAAATTAAATCTGTGCTTTCTTCATTCTTGATAGGAGACAGGGTTTGAAATCAGTGAATAAAACTGGTGATATGTTGAGACAAACTATGACAGATCATCAAGCCTTAGGATCCTGTATGGAAGGACAGAGCCATGACTGACTCACCCTGGTAGCCAGACCAGGGGGTGCGCATTAGCTTAAAAGGAGAAAGAGAAAAGGTTGAGCATCAGTCAGGAGTTAGAGAGAAAATGTGTGTGTGTGTATTTCTGAAAGGGTTGGGGGTCAGGAAGTCCTGGGAATAAACAAGCAAACCAATTAGGGTGGTACTTATCCACAGTTTAAGCCAAAAGATTTTCCTGAATTAAATGTTAAGCTCACTCCTTCCAAAGGGCAGGTTTGTAGAGCAGTTGGCTGGGTGCTGCGCTGGCAGGTGAGTAAGGATTATGTTCATTCACAAACAACACTTATTGCATTCTTTAAACCATCTATCACAAAACAAACAGTGAAATGAAAGGGCCTGTAATTAGCAAATAATGGGACTCTTAACCTTTATCTTGAAGTTCTCCTCAGTGATTCTGTAAAGGTGAGTACAGATATGTTTCTGGGAGGCGAGCCCTTTATAAATCCAGATCAAGCTGTCTGCTTCCCATTAAAAAAGAACCAACAAAAAAAAAGTCAGGAGAGAGTTGTCGGGGAGTCTCTGAGCAAAAAGGATGTTTTGTACCATCGCTGGACAATACTGTCGACCTTGGAGACATTGCCCCAGAAAAATACAGGTAATTGCTATCCAAAGCTGGGCACATCTACATGAGATGCAATATCACTGTAGCAATGCATTATGGTAATGTAGCATCAGCGGGCACAAACCATGGCGCTGCAGCTACGTCGCCATAGTGATGCGCTCCCTTGCTATAGCATGTTGCTATGGCGATGTAGCAGCTAAAAATAACTGTGCGCCACCAGCTATTACTGTGCCGTCATTTGGTACCTCCTAAGGAAGTACTAAATGATGGCACAGTAACAACGGCGCTGTAGGGACATGTATAGACGCGCCCACTGTGATTACTTCCTGCATCTGCTTTCCTCCTGTCCCACTTGCTACAGTGAGAATTAAATGCTGCAGTGGTTCCTTTTGTGTCAGAGTAGCTATCGGCCAGGTATCAGGATGCCAGTGGTTTAGCTGGGGCCAGTGCATGGCTGCAGATTAGAGGAGGGGGTTTCTATTGCTATCTCTGCTCACTTTGTGACTTGGGGATAAATCAGTTCACTAAACTGTGCCTCAATTTTCCCACCTGGAAAATATATATAATGATACTAGCCTACCTTTGTGAGCAGAGTGAATACCAATCATCTTCCAAACCATTAACAGATGGACTAGTGGGAAGTAAAGGCTGAAGAAAATACAGGCAGACACGGTTCTTTGGGTGAATCTGATATCTTTTATTAGACCAACTTAAATAGTTGGAAAACAATTATTAAGCAAGCTTTTGGGTTCAAAAACCCTTCATCAAGCTAAGGAAGTTTCAGCAGTTGGTGTGTGCTCTTCCTGGATTGAAAAGAGCACACACCAACTGCTGATACTTCCTTAGCCTGACAAAGGGTTTTTGAACCCAAAAACTTGCTTAATAATTGTTTTCCAAGTATTTAAGTTGGTCTAATAAAAGATATCAGATTCACCCAAAGAACCTTGTCTGCCTATGTCCTTAGACCAACACGGCTAGAACCTACACCCCTGTAACGAAGAAAATACAAACATTCAATCAATTGCACCCTTTCTTCAGTTAGGTATAACTTCAAACACCCTAATAATAACACTGAAGAAGTGCTGCATGATGATAAATGTAGTGCTTCCTCCTTCTCCTCTTGCCTGGGACTCGCATTTTTTGAAGTGGAGTATAAAGGCTTGGCTTGTGCTGTCCTCTTGTGGCTTCTTACTAAATTGCAACCAGGTAGGGAGGATTTTTAATTAAATGAGCAAGTCAATTCATCTCAATTTTATGTGCCTAGGCCATCCTCCTTAATAGCATCAGATCAATTTATTTCAGTATGTACATTCATAATACTTTGGTTTACATCAGAGGTGGACCTAGATCCTACTCCTGAATCTGAATTTTGAATGGGAACTAGCATATTTTTACTGCTCTTCTTTGTACAACACCCTACATGTGCATATTGCTGTACTGAAAAATAAGAGGAGGGATAAAATGCCAGCTCTGCTGAAATCTGTGGAGCTGTGACTTCACTGAGAGCCGTTCCCCCAAAGAGCTTATGGCCTACAGGCCACATTCTGAACTGGTATTCTTCAGAGGTGGACAAGGTGCTATGGGGCAGGTTCAATTTTATCCCAACTCTCAGATTGTCTTTAAAGTACAGAGGGACCAGATGTTTAACTAATGGTGTCCCCTCTCCACCCCATGTGTGGGTACTTGCCTTCAGCAGAAACCTGGTTTTATTTTAGATACCTTTCTAGGATTCCATCCAATTGATCTACTTGCTGCACATCACTAACTTAAAAAATCAGACTATTGAAATGGACATGCACAAGTTGCTCAACCTTTCCTGTTTGCAGTTCTGTAAGACAGGGGAGTAAAAGCCATGAGCAATCAATGACATTTACGGGTCATCAGAACACTTCTGATTGCAACTGACAGGGAGCAAGGCCAGAAAGTCCTAAGAAGTTGCCTGAATGCTAATAGACATTGGAATCTTTAAGGGGATAGTGCCAGAGTAGAAGGAACGCTGAATAAAATGGCGTTTTGTATTACTGATAGGAGTTTAATAAATCTCTGATTTTTTCCGTATCCTGGTTGCATCTCTTCTTACAGCTGGCTTGCATCTTTGTGAACTGAGTGAGTTTTGGAGTGAAATAGCTATTGATAGGTGCCTGAATGGTAGTGTTGAGCGAGAGTATCCCATGAATGTGGGAATGGAACCCTAACAGGAATTGCATGTCTACTTTCTCACAGAAGACGTGGTATCCAATTCCTATGGCTGCTACATCACCTTTGTATTGTCCTGCTGACTCCAGCCTGCCTTCTATTTCTCTCCCACAGCGGCCACTGCCCTCCTACATGGTGCCACAAACAGGATTTGGGGAGTTTTGGCAGGAATCCTCCCAGCTGTAGTCTCTCTACAGGCCTTTCCACGTGCAGCTGCCATATTTTAATGAATCTGGCACAGTGCATGGGGGCCCATGACTTACTGAGGTTGGCCAGATTGGCTTTATGGTATACTGGTCCTAAATGTAATATGCACTGGAACACCAGAAAGTTGAGTCCTGCTGAGCCTGGTGGGAGAAGTTGCTCTACAGAAAGTGCCGCCATGGCCAGTTGACTGGTAGGACAATCTTTCAATCCATTGAAAGGATGAGGCTTCTGTTGTCCAATCTAGGGCCTAACCAGGATTTGCCCAGTGAAAGTGACCAGCTGTCCTGCATTTTCTGGGAGATGCCTGCATTGGGCTTTATCCCAGAGAACTCCCAGAAATAGGACTTTTGTGTTGAATTTGGAAAAAAATGGTCCCAGTTTGACACCAAAAGCATTCTGCTCTGTCTTTTGAGAGACTGCAGTGCTGGCTGGTGTCACGGGAGCACATCTGTATTGCAGCTGAGTCGGGAGGCAGCTGTCTGCATGTTGACATGTCCAGATTAATTAGTTGTACCTCTCAGCACCACATGAAAGTGGTTCTAATACTGATTTCCAAATGAAAAGCGACGTAGGTGTGTTCAAGTGACACTACATCCAGGCTAATTAATTCTGCCTCTCAGCAGGGCTAACTAATCTACCTGCAGCATTACACTGCAGTTTATAGGCTGCCCTGCATGCATTGCCCAGCTAGACTGAACAGCTGTGGTAGATGGTGCTGAGAGACCAGATGCCACAAATGTCCCATTGCCTTGCAAAACATCAATAATAAATGGTCACTTTTTTAAACATCTGGCTGATTTTGGGTTGTGCTACTTAAATCTAGCACCTGATTGTCACTGACCACAGCCTAATTTGTCATACCCACTTGTATAATTCAATGGGCAATTTGATGAGGTGTAGAAAAAAGAT